AAGAAATAAAAGACACAACTTATCTCACAATCCTTCCCAAGCAAATCCCTTGAAGTTCTCTTCAAGCCTTTCTCTCTTTACAAGCACTCTCAATTCTCTCTTATAAGTGCAATGAAGAATAAATCTCTCACCTTCCCTCTCTTCTTACAATCTTGGAATAAAATCTACAAGCCCTTGTGTATCTCTCTCTCACGCCACACACACACATCTTTCTTCATCACACACACACACACACCACACACACACACACACACACACACGCTACCCAAAAACTCTCCTTACAAACCCTAGTCTTCCCTCTCTTTTATAAAAGGTTGCCTTCCTCCAAAAAGAATTCAAAATTTCCTCAAAAATTTTATCCAAAAGTCAACTCTTTTGAATTAAAAAGACATGTTCATTGATCCAAGAGACATATCCTTTCACAAAAGAACTTTCCAAAGTGTCTAGATGCATTGAATCACTCCAAGGGGTGTTTAGAACAAGTGTCCCTTTGAAAATTCACCTAAAATTCATCTCAAACCACCTTAATCGGTAAAAAGTTATCTTTGGTGCATCATGCGCCACTTCTCTGGATTTTGGCGCATCATGCACCACTCTGAAGCAGCTCCACTGTTTTGCTTCGTTTGTCTCTGTTTCACTCCATTTCAGTTGCATTTTGCTCCTAACAGATATACCTACAAAATAAGCATGAAAAAAATCTTCCCTTAAAGTGTAATTTCATTCAAAAACATGTGAGAAATGTAAATTAGATTAAGCATAGAAAGACATATCTAAATGTGTCAAGTCAAAATTTTTTTTCTTGCTCGTTTTTACTCCAAATTACACCATTTTTTTGCTCCATTTTCTCCAAAAGTTCATTTCTTGTACCTGAAACCGAAAATATGCAAAATACCTTCCTTTAAAGTGTAATATCATTAAAAATCATTAAAATTGAGCATAAAATATATATGAAAAAGTAGGTAATTTTTAGGCGTGTCAATATTCTAAATGTCCACTTGGCAATTACCTGGATTGGGCTAGGAACCACTCTCCTAACCGCTCTCCTTTGATTGTCTTGCTGGTAATTTCTAGTTAATATTAGACTTTATAAACACAGATTGCTGATAATTGCCAACGAAGTCTTTTAGGAATGATAATTCTGAGTCCACCCGCAACTTGAAATTCTTACACTCAGCCCCTTCTATATGGGTTTATTTAACTTAATTCACCTATTTGCATTTTGTTGAATTTTATATTATGTTTACAATAATAACCTTACAAAAGCAGCGTCAGAGGTGGTAGGTATGCACCATCATTTTTTTCTCATTTTACTACATTTTTTTCCTTTACCGTACTTTACAACATGTTTTACTTATGTATAATTTAATATACCTGCAAAAGCCTCTGGGGTAGAGAACAGTAAGACACTTGTTTAGGGAGAGCACTACAACAGGCCTTGAGACCCAACCATAACTTCAAGTTCAATCATAAACCTTAAACCCATAACCATCACAAGTAAGAAGCATGAAGCTAGTTGTTCGGGAAGCAGAATAAGGTGCAGGGACAACCTCAGACGACAAAACAAGAAGCAACTAAACTTTTCTGAATCTTAAATAATAAAACTCATAGCACTTTGAGGTTTTCTATCTAGTACGACATAAAATCCTCACTTATCTCTTAGGCTTCAACACAACCATGTTGCGTAGGATAAGTCCTACCTCTTTTTTAGGGTTTCGAGGTTGTCCATGCGGTAAAACATAAACCATCCTATCTTCCTAGGTATTTGTATGATCATATATTATGCAAATGTAAGCCTTAATTTTAAATAATTGCCAGGAGTAAACATCAAATAAACATCATTTCCAAAATATAAAGCTAAACAAATAAGATATTTTGGGAAGTAATCAGGGTTCTCCTCATAATTTGTGACATCCTTACTTTTATCTCCTTTGATCTCTAAATAACAGTTTTTATTTGAGCCCTTCCCACTTGACTTTTCCCATAAACAAGCATGAAAACTCAATTTTGAATTCTTGAAGACAAAATCCTTGATCTTAATAAAGAGTTTTCTTAGGTGACTCTAGTTGCGTAATATATAATTAACTATAGGGGTTTGTCTCTATGTAAAATTAAGAACCTAGATAATTTTAACTATTTTTATCTTTATATTAGGAATGAGAATTGTCGGTCACAAATTTCGTGGACTAAATGGATGTAATAAATTTTCTTAGTTTAAATGGTCAAGCCTACTAACAAGTGATTTGTTTATCTTTTGTTGTAGTGTATTACTATTGGTATTAGACTCAATTATCTAAATTATTAAATATATGAGATTTATTTTGTCTCAAATTTTAAAAATCAAAATTTTATTTTAAAAATAAAAATTATATATACATATTAAATTAAATTAAAATGTACTTTTCACGAAAAAATTAACTGACAACCACATTAACCAATAATAACCTCACCAATGTGTTCCACTAATTTTTATGAATCAAATGACTCAAGGTCAAATTTTTTATCTTAAGCATTCATGATCACTCCAACTCTCTTATTTGAATTCCCCTCTCTTTTTTCCTCTTCCCTCTCTCCATTTGTCCAAAAATTCATGTTCCACCCTATTTTTAAATTTAATATTCAATCATTTTAAAAAGTCCCTCATGCATTTTCCCCCACGTCCTTTGCTTAGGCTGAATTTCTTCTCTCTCCCTCTCTAATTTGGTGGAACCACCTTCTCTTTCCCCTCTTATTATTTTTTCTCCTTTTTTCCTTAGCCGATACCCCTTCATCCTCTTCCTCTCTCTTCACCAAGGAAATCAAATGGACTTCCAATTCACTCAACCACGGGAAAACAGGGCTTCTACTTCATTCAAGCAAAGTAAACTCCCTTTTCTTCTATGTTGTTTTGTTCCTTATGTAAATTAATATGTATAAAATTATTTTCAAATATGTCACTTATTTTCTCTTCTTCTCCTTCTCACGGCCGAACCACACACACTTTCTCTCTCCCTCTCTCTTCCCTTCCTTTTCTTTCCATGGTCAAAAACCTTAACCTTCTCCCCTCCTCTTTCTCTTTTTTTTCTTAGGTCGAAAGTGCCTATCCACATTCCTCTCCTCTTCCTCTTTATCCCATGTACAAATATCTTTCCCTTCTCTTCATTTATTTTTTCTAGGATGAAAACTTCCATTTACTTTCCTCTCCTCTTCCTTTTTTTCCCATGACCGAAAATCCTAGTCCTTCTCCTCTCTTTTTCTTCTTCGAGGCCAAAAACTAACGCACGCCCATCCTCACTGTCTCTTTTTCCTAGACTGAAAACACGTCAACAAGCCAAAAAATCAATTCTTTCTCCTTTTTCAGGGTTGAAATTTTAATTGAAAGCCAAACATTGTGGAGGCTTGGGTCTTCATAACCTTGATAATCTAAACATCATGTGCAAAATTAAAATTATATGGAGACTTTATAACTCTAACAATCTCCTCTCTAGATGGTGTTTTAGCTCATACATATCTATTTTATAGAGCAAAAATAATATATTTATGTCCTTCAAAAAAATCCACAACTCTCTTTCCAAGGATTTAGATACTATTTCAGTTTTTATATCATTAGAAACAGTAAGCTTTTCCTTTTCAATGACCCATGGTTGGACGGAGTTTCATTATGTAAAAAATATGGGCATTTATTGTTTGATTGGTTTAAGTGCTAAAAAATACCTCTATTTTTGTCTTTCTAAACAATTTCAATTGAGCGTTTCCCCCTAATCTCCAAACTCATTCTAAATGCATTAACTCAATAATTAAATTTCCTACTTTGGAAGCTAGTTTAAGTTGATCTAAGAAAGGGAAAAAAGTGTTTTTATATAAGGAAGCTTACTATCATCAATATATTGATCAACCGCACAAGGATTGAATCCTATTAATTAGATTCAAATATTGCTCTCTTAATTTTACAACTTTTGCCTGAAAAGTTCTCATAAATGGCATAAATGCTTTGGATGCCCTTACTGTTAGTGGTCTAATCACCTTTTATATTTGTATTATGGAAATAAAATCTAAAATGCATGCTCACTTGTTTTTTTGAATGCTCCTTTTCTTTCAATCTTGTGAAAAATGTTAATACCTTAGGCTCTTTTCTTCAGCTGGTTATAGTTCTCTATAATTCTTAGTCACGGTTGATACTTGCATTTGTAAACCCAAAATATAAATTTCCTTACTAGCTATCCCAGTCAATGCTTATTTCATTTGGCTGGAAAGAAATGTGCACACTTTCAAGAATGATATTTCTTTAGTTGAATCAGTTTTGAGAAGCATTGCATCAAATTTAAGAGCAAAAAATGGAAGTTTAAGGACCTAATTCCTCACCATAGTACTTCCCTCTACAACTAATAATGCTTTTATATAATGCATTGAACTAGGTTCCTCTCTTTTCTTTGTTGGGTTTTATTCTTAACCTCTCTAAGCCTTCTTCTGCATTCTCTAATCTATGGAGACCGCTCTCTCTTTTCTTTTACAATCTAAGATTTCATAATTGTCTCGATACACTTGGACGCATATGGTGTCAGAATTATTACTCAATATTTCAATCAGTTGCTTCTTAGTAGCCTAGAAGGATTTCCTTGTAACCCAATGCTTTTGGGAATTAGAGAGCAATGGTGAGACAACAACACTAATGATGGGCTCAACTGGCTGAATATCATGATATTTTTGAAGAAATTGAGGCATTTTGCAAGCTATCAAGGATCAAGTTTTACTTCCAAAATCTAATGACTAATTGCTTTTTTACTTCCAAAATCTAATGACTAATTGCTTTCCTTTGATATGAAACTACTATTTTCTAGTACAAGACAAGTTGAATCGCCCGGATGGAGCCAATGCATTGAAATAGCTGTCTATTCTAGGCTATAGTCAAACTTTCAGATTGCTTTCATTTTCTTCTTTTCATATTTTCTTGTTAGTCATAATGTAATCCTCTATTTTTTTTTTTTGTTTAAAAAAAGCTCCAAAAGAAAATAATGCTAGAAAAACTTGCAATCCTCGGATCATTAAGGCGCCGGACAGCTCATCGATCCGGGTCAAAAGGGGCCTAGACCAAGGCTACAGCCCATGGGCCCCCGTCCCAAATTGTACCCGATAATCCCTGGGCAGGGCCGGCTGGCTCCCAGACTGAACGGGATAAGATCTAGAAAGCCCGACCCGACCCGGCCTCTCGATAGCACGACGGCTAGGGTTCTTTGGCGAGATTTGCAAGCGTCTCCGTCCTTTCGTCCTCGCTGCCGCCGCTGAACGGCGGCGAATCTCCTTCCAGCCAGAACTGGTTTACCTTCCATCTCACCTTTTCTCTCTCGATCTCTCTCTGTGGAGAGATTTCTCCTGGAGATGCATTACTGATCTTCTTACACCAGTTACCGACTGAGGTCCCTTCCTCTCTGTAGTTTGGGCATGCTTTATGAGCTTAATGACCTATGATTCGCTACATGGCTTATAATTGAATTTGTTTTCTGGATGCCTCTGACTAAGAAATACCCTTTTATTCCTTTTTGTAGTCTGAAAGTATTAGTTTAGTTTTCTAAAACATTGTAACAGTAAGTTAATTTGGTTCAGCTAAAGTATTAGGCTTGATGCTTTTTGCACAATTTCAATGCATGATGCTTTTATTTCACATTAATAAGAGTGTTTGTATATGGAAGCTATTGTGCAAACAAGCACAACTCATTATTCATACCAGTAACTATTTAGATATTTCATGTTATTGGTGTTAGTAGTTTTATTAAAGTTGAACTGAAGTTTTATTTTTTTATTTATTTACTTATTTACTTATTTATTTATTTTGGCATGTTGTCCTTGACTTAGGTGTTGCAATTTTTTTTTTGTTGCTCGAGTAAAATGCAATAATTTTTAGCATGATTTTGATCCAATTTCTTCCCGTATATTGCAGAATATTGCAGAGTTGATTGAAGGAGCGTATTCGATGCATCATGTTATTCCCATTATCTAAGATCTTTTTTGAATTCATATGTAGTGATAAATAATAAATACTACTCAATGCAAAACCTCAGTCTTTATTAGTGTTTGATTTGGTACTGATGTTTAATTTTGATTGATAACAAATTATTAAGAGAAGAAGTGTTTGAATTTTATGTTGGCATTGACTTGGATCTACTTAATGATTGTAGATTTTTCATGGAAGGAGCAATCATACCTAGAGTCGAGGATGAGTTCGTTGAGTATATTCAACAAAAGAAAAGGAGGGGGAGGGCAACTTCAATAGTTTGGGAGCACTTTGATAAGCTTAAAGACGAAGTAGATAATGTATGGAAAACTCAATGCAAGCATTGCAAGCAAATATACTCGAGTGCTCAAAAAAATGGTACCTCTCATTTAAAGCGCCATATGGATCGTTGCCCCATAATTAGGGCATCTGGATTGATATTTCCTACGGTGAGCACACCAATAGTGAGCGATGGACTCGCAGGATATGAATCAAGTAATAAACGTTCAAGGTCTGTTTCAAAAGTATGGGAAGATTTTGAGAAACTCAAAGCTGAAAGAGATGATATTTTGAAGGCTAGATGTATACATTGTAAACAAATTCTCTCAGGGGCTTCTAAGCATGGAACGTCTCATTTAAAGCGCCATCTTGAGAGGTGTCCAAAACGTCGAAACCATGAAGTTAGGCAACTCTTGCTGTCAAGTGAAGTGAGGAGCATAAAACAACTTTTTTCATCAAATGAAGCTCTTGTTGATGGAAGCACGCCATTGAAGAAGTGTGCACTAGACCAAACTGAAATATTAAAGGCAATTTCAGCTTTCATTATATGTGGAAAGCATTCGGTAACACTTGTTGAAGAACTTGGATTTAGGCAGATGATGACTAAAGTTTGTCCTGAATTTGAAAATGTTAATGCACAGGCCATTAGAAGGAAGATTTTTTCTAGTTATTTGAAGGAGAGGGAGAGTTTGAAGGAGCTTTTAGGAAGAATACCTGGTAGAATATGTTTAACTTGTGAGAATTGGAGCTCTGATTATAGCAAGAATGGATATATGTGCATCACTGCTCATTTTATTGATAATGATTGGAAATTGGTGAAGAAGATTATTTATTTTAAACCTTTAGTACCCCCCTTTAATGGAACATTGTTTGCTGATGAGATAGCACTTTGCTTAAGTATGTGGAACATTGACACTAAAATTTTTACTATTACTTCTAGTAATGCCTCATACGATGACAACTTTGTTGATACTCTTAAAGGTTGTCTTTTAGCTAAGAAAAATCTTTTAATTGGTGGCTGCTTTTTTCAAGTTCGAAGTTGCTGCCAAATTCTGGATATTATTGTAAAAGCTATTTTTAATCTTGTTGATGATGTTGTTGATAAGATTCGGAGTGGAATAGAACACATTCGAAAATTCACATCAAGAAAGAAAAAATTTTATATGATTGCTTCCAAGGAATTCCAATTGGACACTAAAAAGAGACTGCATCCGGATGTGTATTTTAGGTGGAATACTACTTATATGATGATTGAACGTGCTCTTTATTACAAAAGCATGTTGCAATATTGGGGAGAACATGACAGTAATTTCCTTTATTATAATCTCTCTGCTGAAGAGTGGGAAAAGTTGGCAATTATTCAAAAATTTTTAGCAGTGTTCTATGAGTTGGAGAGCGCATTTTCTACTGCTAAACATCCAACTTCCAACCTTTATTTCAGGGCATTGTGGAAAGTTCATATGCACTTATTGAAAGCAGTAAGAGGTCCATTTTCATTCATGACTAGAATGGCTACAGATATGCAAGAGAAATTTGAAAAATATTGGATAAAGCATAACTTAATCTTATCATGTGCGGCAGTTTTGGATCCCCGTTACAAGGTGAAGCTTGTAGAGTTTTGCTATACAAAAATCTATGGTGATAAGGCTGAGGATTTTGTCAACACAACTGTTAGAACTCTGTATGGTCTATTTGATGAATATAAGCCAAATTTTGTGACAAGTTCTTCATGCACTAGGACCTTTGCAGCTCCTGCTGTTGCAGAACATGGAAATGTAGATAAGGATGAATTTGAAGATTATGAACAGTTTTTGAGTAGGAAATCTAGGCCTCAAGGTGAGAAATCTCAATTGGATCTCTACCTAGAAGAACCAGGTCCCGACTTTAACAGTGATATTAATGTCTTAGAATATTGGAATAATAGTTCGATGCGATATCCTGAGCTTGCAATGATGGCCCGCGACATCCTGACAATACCAATGTCCTCTGCTTTTATGGAAGCTAGCTTCAACATTGGAAAGAGGGTTCTACATTCTGGCCAAAGTTTGCTTGATCCAAAGATGGTTCAAGCTTTAGTTTGTCTTTCAGATTGGACTTATTCAGCTTTAGGTAATTTTTGTAAACCTGTTTCTGTTTATCTGATGAATTCAAGCTTAATATGCTAATCTTGAACTGCTATGGCTTCTTTGCACTCTCCGTAGAGAAATTATCTGGCACCAGTATGACGGTCATCCATGAAAATGGTGATCCCTGTGTAAGTGATGAAGAGAATGACTTAGATGATTTGGACATTGAAGAGGGCACCTTTCCTTAGGTTTGTTTTCTTTTGCAATTTCCTGGTATTACTATTATATTTCTCTTATTGTTTTCTCATGGCCTAGGTCTTTTTTTCCTTTATTTTTTTACTTGGCTCCTGTTCAATTGGTTTATTATCATTAATCAATTGCCCTTCTTGATAGATAAAATTTCATTTCCTTATTTCTCTTTGCTATATCTCACCTACTATTGCTTTATTTTTGAGGTGCTTATTGTTACACTTTTGACAATCATGGATTGGGACTTGAGCATTCTTTGGTAGTCCAAAAGAGAGAATTCAAAGCAATTATTTTGATGTGATGGGAAGTTGCTTTGCACGTTTATATGTTGAACCTTATCGTGGATAACTTAAAAGAATGTTGAATCTAGAGATGTGCACTCTAGATTACTGTACAGGTTTTGGTTTGTAGCAAAAATTTGGGTGAGCTCTTGACCTTGTAACAAGTGGTATCGGAATAGAAGTTGAAAACACATTCATGATGGGTGGAGTCAGAGTGCATATGAGAGTTTCTCTCCTTAAGACCTTGGTAGGAACTACTTTCTCGTAGATTGTTTGCTGGATGCGTAGTAACAATTAGAGACTTTGCAACAAGTCATTGCCCTGCCTATCTATAAAATAGCATAGCCATAAAAATAGCATTATTGTTATTATTATTAATTTTTTTAGAGCATTAATACATTCTTAATATGCAATTGAAACTCCCAAGGGAGTTAATGTTCTTAAGCTAAAATCCTTGTTGATGGGGAAACACAAGGGAGCTTTGAGAACTTCTTATAAGACATAAGCAGTACTTTATGCTACTTATGTTGATGTAGTGAAGGTAGGTTTATGATTAAGCCAAGTCAAGCTGAGTATTTTGTAGACTGGATTTGGCTTGGTCATTTTACAAGTTATTTATATTTTCTTCAAGCTCGAACCGAGCTTTCACATATATGTTCATACTTGACTTGTTTATATTATTTGAATAAGTACTTCAACAATTCACTAAGCCAGCGAAAAATTCAATTGAGTACTTGCATTTTCATATAAAGTTATTAACAAATGATTTTACAAACCAAAACAAATATATAATTAAATAAAATTTAAATTAATATCCATGGAATTCTACCCATGTTAGGTGGCTCAAAAGACTTGTCATATGGGCCCCATATGATCAATTTTGTGGAAGTTATTGGATGGAGTTTTTTATTTCAGTTTTATTCTTTTTTATTCTTTTTCTAATTATATTGTGTCTTTATTTTATTGTTTATTTTGTATTTGGTAAGTTGTAATAGCCTTAATTATATTTGCTGTAGACATACCCTATATAATAAGGGGAAAGTTTGTAATTTGAATACAATGGAATAAGAGAATGAAGTTTATTCACTTTTCTTTTTGGAACAATAGGAAAGGTCATTTGCATCGTTGGGCGTCGACGACGATGCCTTCAACTTCCTCTACTCCGCCGTCACCCTGTGACGACATTAGGGTGTTGATCTTCTGTATCGAACGATATCTCTCATCTTGCGACGATGACTTCCTCCATGCCATTCCAATGAATCTGCCTTGATATTTTCTGTGTGTGCTTTGAATGACATTGTGGTCTTCTTCCTGTGACAACTTCTCCGTCTGTGTCGGTCAAATGAATAAACTTCATCTTCGTTCGTCTAAGAAATTTGTCTGCTTCGCCTTCTACTGTCGTCTTTGTCTTCGGATTCGTCTGCTAGTTCTCCTTTAATGATATCACCCTAACTCTTCTTCAGCAGTCGGAATCCTCCATGTAGTCACCAAAATTCCTTAAACCAATCTGTAGGCCCTCCTCTGCTTGCTCCGACAGTTGCTCAAAACTTGACTTGAAATCTATCAAGTGTATCTTCCTTGGTTATGCTTTTAACATAAAAGTGTACAAGTTATATTCTCTCATTACAAAAAAAAATACTATAACACCATGTTTGTTATTTTTTTTTGAAAAACAATCCTACTAACCCAAATATGAAATTTAGATGAAGAGTTTGGGTGAATATTAGATTTGAGACACTACTCTTGATACCTACAATGATCTAGAGTCATCACGGTTATTCCACTTCCCTCTAACCATCACATCTCCCATATTCCAGCACTTATGGATATCCAACTTAAGATTGACAAAAAGGAATGCACAAGGAACATTATGTGTATATTAGGGGAAAGAAATCCTTTGAGCAAGATAATGACAATATGCAACCACGGGATTGTTCATAACCAAACCTGAATTCATACATCTTTGTAGTTTAAAGGGAGGTGAAATCTAGTAGAGAAGACAAAAAAAAGTTGCACAATTTATCCTATCTAGGAGTATGTTAAATATAGGAAGTTGTCATCATCTTATAAAGTTCGTGTATATAATTTTGATAGTGTGCAGATACACAAGTCTATTCATGAAGAGCATTCAAGTCCAGAATGAAAGAAAGTTGAAGAAGAGATCCAATCACTTGTTCTAAATGACACATGGACTTTTACAAAGCTTCCTCCAAATAAAAAACTTGTTGTGTGCAAATGGGTGTTCACTGTCAAGTACAAAGCAGCTTGGAGCATTGAGAAGTTTTAGGTTAGGTCAGTGTTAAAGGTTTCACTCAATCTTATGTGATAGACTATCAAGAGACCTATAAACCAGTAGCCAAGCTAAACACTGTAAGAGTTCTTCTTTCCTTGGTAGTGAACAAAGAGTGAGAACTGCATCAACTTGATATCAAGAATTTCTCTTTGAATGAATATATTGAGGAAGAAATGTATATGGAGATCTCATAAGGGCTGGAAAATGGCTTAAATAAATATCTGGTTTGTAAACTAAGAAAGTTAATTCATAGAATCAAACAATTTCCGCGGGCTTTAGTTTGACAAGTTTGATAAGACTATGAAATATAGTGGGCGCATTCAATGCAAATTGATAATACATTATTCATAAAGCATACACATTAACTTAAGACAGCTATACTCATTATCTGTGTGGATGATATGTTTCTGAAAAATAATAAAAAAAAGTTTGGGAAGATTAAGAAGTTTCTTTTACTGAATGTTAAGTCATGGATTTGAGCTATGAGATAATTTTTGGGCATGATTGTGGCCAAGTCTAAATTGAAAATTGTAATATCTCAAAGAAAGTGTTTCCTAGACCTACTAAACGAGAAAGCAATGTTGGAGTGTAAACCTACTGTGATTCAGATAGATTTCAACAAAAAATTAAATTCAAGAGGAGAAAAGATAACAACAACAACAAGCTTTTACACCACTAAATGGGGTCGACTACGTGAATACTTTTTCTCCATTTTGTCTTGTTGAGTGTTATATTTTCATTTAATTCTAATAAATTAAGATTATTTTTTATACAACATTCCCAACACTTTTTTAGATCTACTTCTTCCTTTGTTAACATAAGTCTAATCTAAAACATCCACTTTCCTAACTGGATCATCAGATGGTCGAATTTCAATTTGACCAAACCATTTAAAACGACTTTCTCTAATCTTGTCCGTCACTGGAGCTACACCAACTTTTTCACTTATACATTCGTTTCGCATTTTGTCTTTAAGTATCAAGCCACTCATCCACCTAAGCAAACATTCTCATCTCAACAACAATTTACTTATTTTTGTGCTTCTTTTAAAGGCCAACATTCTGCGTCATAAAGCATTGCAGGTCTCACCACCATCTCATAAAAAATTTTGCAAGTCTAAGCTGTACTTTACCATCAAATAATAAGCCCGATGCATTCCTCCAATTCAACCATCCAACTTGAATTCTACTATTAACACCTCCATCTATATCTTCATCACTTTGAGCAAAACAAGATATAGGGTTATTGTCGATCCCAGTGTAATTACACAGATATAGAAAAAATACTTGGTCAATCCTCCTTTTGTTTAAACACAAGTAACAACTCTAATATACATATCTTTAATGACTTAAATATAAGTCATATCAACACCTTTTTTTAGAACTCTTCAAAGATTTTTTCTTGGAACCTTATTGTAAGCTTTTTCTAAATCCATAAAAATCATAAGTATATTCTCCTTACTCTTTTTGTACTTCTCTATCAAACATCTCAATAAATGTATAGCTTCCATAGTAGACCTGCTCGTTATAAACTATGTTCAATTACTCTCTCTTAATTTTAATGTATGACACATTAACTTAATTCCTCTATAATTTGCACACTCTTGTACATCCCCTTTATCCTTAAAAATGTGAACCAAAATACTCAACCTCTACTCATGCATCATTTTAGTTTTTAAAATGATATTAAAAAGTTTAATAAGTCAAGAAACTCCTAAATCTCCTAAACTTATTTTTCATCATTAGTTTTTTTAAAGGCTCCTCAATTTATTTTTTACTAATACGACGGTAAAAATAAAAACTATTATTATTATTTATAATATTATAATCACCAAGATCGATCATATTTTCAATAACTTTATTGAAATGATTAACAAAATATCTCACCGATCTATGTTGAATAACTTTCATTAAGAAAAACACATTTTTTATTTTGATCATTAATACACTTTACTTGAATTATATCTTTACTTCTATTTTCTCTTTATTTAGCTCGTTCGACTTTAATTCTCTCTTTGTATAGCTAGTTTATAGATATATGTTTCTCCATCTTTAGTGTCTAATCTATTATAAAGGTCGCCCAATGTATATAAAATTGCTATCTTAAAATCCTTACGGGCCACATTATATTTTTCCAATTATCTATGTTTTTACATTTAAACCAAATTTTATAGCAAAACTTCATATATTTTATTTTTCCTTGCACATTATTATTTCACTACCAGTTATTTTATTTATAAAAAATTTTTTTCATCCTCCTAGTACGACTTTGTCACTTGTTTAATACTGCTTGTTACTTTATGCACATAAAATTAGCTTCTTCATGAACATCTCAAATCTAAAAATTAAATGTTACTCATAAAAATAATTGTCTTTTTTGTTCCATCATCTAATTCTATGACAATGTTTGATTGTATTTTTTATCTTATAACCCCTCATCTTAAATATTTCATTGTATTTTTTTAACATTGACTTTTAACATTTTTTTAACACTAAATATTTCCTATAACCCCTCATCTTAAATATTTCATTGTATCTTTCAACCTATTTAGTTTCTTGAATGCATAAAAAAATTATTTTTCTATGAACCATATTATCTACTAATTCTATTAATTTAACAGTAAGAGTACATATATTTCAAGATCCTATCATAATATTAGTTTAATGAATGAAATTTCTTACCCTCAATGTGGGTACCGTTGTTTATTTAACACTACACCCGGACGCCGGTGTAATTTCCCTTGCTCCTTATATTTAGGTCATTTAGTGTGTTGTTTTCAGGGGATGCTCTAGTATTAACACAATAATTTAAAAGATTTATGTCATGATTTTTTCAACAAAAAATTTACGTTGGTTGTCGACTATATAAGGCAACTCTTCACTTTTCACATCCGGGGTTTGAGACTCGTCAATGTCAGTGCTAAAGGTGAAAAAATGTAAATGCAAGAGATTGGTGAGTAACTTATCTGCATATCACTCACTAGTCAATATATAAATAGTTCAAATGAAGAACATTTGAAGATGGTTTACAAAATATTGATATTTCTTAAAAAGACCCTTGGAAGAGGGTCATTTTTAAAAAATATCAGATAACAGGGAGGTAGAAATTGATGCTGATGCTACTTGGGCTAGAGAACTCATTGATAAAAGGTTCACATTTTAGGTTTTGTTCTTATATATGGGGAAATTTTGTCACATGGAGGAGCAAGAAACAAACAGTGGTCTCTAGAAGTAGTGCAAAAACTAAGTACCAGGCACTTGCTTTGGGAATTTGTAAAGAAATAGGGATCCAAAAATTACTAAATTAGTTGAGATGCTTCATAGTCAATCTCATAAAGATATTCTACGACAATCAATATGTCATTAGTATTGTTAAGAATCCTGTGTGTCGTGATAAGACCAAACACATTGAGATTGATAGAATTTTATCATTGAAAAAGGTCAATGGTGGCATTATGTACTTAATCTACGTTCTAACTCATCTTTAAGTCACAGATAATTTTATTAAATCCCCACCCCTAGGAAGGCTCAATGATTTGAATACCAAGTTGGGCTTTTATAACATCTATGATCTAGTTTGATGGGGATTGTGGACTTTTGTCCCTATTAGGTGGCTTGGATCACATGCTATACGGTTCCACATGGTCAATTTGTGGAAGCTATTTGTGAGAGTTTCCTATTTCAATTTGTGGAAGCTATTATATTTCTTATTATATTGTTTGTCTTTCTAATATTGTTTTTTTTGTATTTCATAAGTTTTAATAGCCTTAATTATGTTTGCCCAGACATTGACAATATAATAAAGGGAAATATTGTAATTTGAATAAGATGGAATATGAATAAGAGAATATAATTTATCCATTTTTCTTCAATATCTAACTAATTTACACCAATTAATTAAGATAATATATAATTTGTAAGTACATATTATTGCAATCAAATAATATAAATAAGTATTATCAAATTAGTTCATTAAAATAAAAAAAATGAAAGAATTGCATTAAATTAATATGTATATTGATATTAAATCTAATTTGTTACTATTGGAAATATAATTAAATAAATTTTTGTTGATCAAATTTTAATTAAATAATATATTTTATAACTAAATAATCTATAATAGGTTATTTGTTTTGAAAAACAAATAAGTTTGTTCATGAACATAAATAAATGAGTTGGATTATGTTTAAGGTTGTGTTTGTTTCGGTTGTGACCATATAAAATCTTAATTTAAAAGCTGTTGCGGAAAATTTGTTATTTAAAAACTAGTATTATAGAAGTAGTTGGTCTGTTTGAAAAAATAAATTTTGAAAGTACTGTCCATGATTAAATGTCTGAAATACATCTATGTTCATATTATATATATATATATATATATTTATGCACTTAATGCTGTTGGAAAGAGAATTCACTGATTTTAATATATTTTTGTA